ATTTATTTTCGCAACCGTTGGTCTTAAATATAGACTTCCAATTACCCCGCTTCCCAAAAATATGCTTTAAATGACGCAAAGATTCAGATTTTTGCCTTTTAATTGTTATTATTACTAGCCCAAAGGGCCAATTTTCCCAGAAGGGCTATTAATTTCATTTTAGCATTTTGCGTTTTTTCACTGTAAATGGCGTTTGACTTTTCAAATTGTTACCTCCAAATATTACAGTGCTGCATTATATTTAAAGAAATTAAATAATTAAGAATCTCCCTGAATGCATTATGTTTCACGAATTGTAAAAAAACAGTGGTAACTGGAGACATCAGAAATTGAATAACGTAGTTTTTCACTTGAATAGGGGCATCTGGAAGCCCAAATTTGGAATTTGTTTCATAATCTATTTCATATTTTGTAAAACTTAACGAATTTTTGATTGACAAACTCGACGAATTCAAAGCGAAGAATGGTAATACTGTACGGGGGGGAACGCATTTTTTACGTTCAGCGAGCGAGACTGTGTAACGGAAATTCTAAAGATATGCTCTTCTTAAATTATTTTGTGATATTGCTATTGAACTGAATTTTATGATTTAAGCGCGAAGAACATGATATTTAATAAATAAAGGCAACACACAAAACGTTTAAAAAAAAAAAAAAAAAAAAAAAAAAAAAAAACCGCCCCTATAACATCTGAAAGCTTTCAGATTTTTTCAATATTTTTTTTTTTTTTTCCCTAAAATACGAAATTTTAATACATTCTCCCGGTTCCTATATTTATATTTAAGAAAATTTTGCACTCGTTATAAAACGTAAAACACTAAATGTTTGACTCCCACTGACAAAACTTGGCTAATATTTTTGCATTAAAGTCGGGGGGGAGGGTCCTATTTATGAGTCTACATAAACTGAAAGCAAACTACTTGCATGTGCATGTAACCCGAAAATAAAATGTCAATTTGGGAAAAGATTTCTCATGTTTAAGAGATTTAAGTCACGAGCATTTCTATGCAGATTACAGTAACAAACCTATTGACCACTAGAATACCCCGCGCTAAAAATAGAGATCTTTATCACAGAATCTTCTAGAAGTTATATTCTAGAAAACAATGCCAGGCTACAACAGTACTGACCCGTACTTAGTTAGTAATATTATTTGCATTAATTATAAATTAAAAATATTTATATTTTAATGAACTTTTGTGCGATTATCTTATTATGATGCTAAAGTAATAAAATTTCCAAGTACAGTAACAAAGTACTTTTCGACTTTGAAAACTTTTAAATTACTTGTATGAAAACTCTTTCGGTATACAAAATGCAACAAAATTATAAAAACTCGAAGTCTTCTCATTTATTTATTAGCCAATCCTCTATGCAAATTGAATATGACCTTTAAAAATCGCAAATTTTGAAATTACATATCTCGTTCAAATTTATCGTACGGGAATCACAGTTTTTAAGTTTTAATTTTTTAAAAGCGTTTAAAATTTTCCTAAATATATGAACTGGAAGAAAGTATAAAATGACAGATTTCGTAATTTTTACAAAATTGATGCCTTTAAAGATGACAAAACATGATTTTTTTGTGTTGTTTAAAAGACTTTAAGCAACTGATATATATGTATGTAAGATAAAATTAAATGAATCAGAACTATAATATAACTAAAAACATTAATTCTTCCTCTCTATTCTAAAATCGTAATAACTTCTTTGCATTGCGTCATTTCTAGATCACTCTATGGCCGGCGCAACTCTGATGACGTAATAATTAAGAACTGAAACTGTCGTTGTAAACCAAACTTTTCTCTTCGCGTGCTTCCATCTTTCATAACTACGCACTTCAGCTTTTGCTCGCTACTGTGCTAAGATGTGATTTCGCTGGCTTGCTTTCTATCCCAACAATATCAAAAATGTAAATCTTCTGTTGAAAGGCACGACTAGAGTGCCAAGTGATTGTGGCCACAAATATCAATTGGAAATAAAAATGGAATTAAAACTGCTTCGACTGCCAAGTTCTTTAAATACTACGCAATCAAAATTCGTCTTCAATATGGGTCTAATCACGCATCTACAGTGTTCCGTCTTTTCCTTGTGTTTTTATTATGACAATTAAGCCGGTAGGATAGTTTCCTGCAGCCTGAAACCTCAATGGAAAATTTAATTCGGCTCTTCAAATCATCGTTTTGTGATAAATCCAAGATAATGTGAAAGAAGTTATTACGATTTTAGAATAGAGAGGAAGAATTAATGTTTTTACTTATATTATAATTCTGATTCATTTAATTTTATCTTACATGTATATATGCTCGCGACCAAAGGTTCCGAAACTAAAGGCCGGATAGACTATTGTGAACACAGTGTACAGCGAACTGTCAGTATAACACAGGAATATCGAACACATAAACCGCTTCTTTTTACCTTTTAGAAAACAAATCCTATTGCAAGTCAAATGAAAGTAAATAATATTATAATTACGATAAATGAAATAACAATAAATGCAAGGATATAACATACTAAGCAAATATTAAATAAAACAAGTAAAGTATAACTACGCCTGTCTCTGCATAAAACAGTAAAAGTCAAATCACTACAGAATTATTTTTTACTGCAGAAATAACGAAAAAATGAGTAAAACAATGACAGCAGAAATCGATGAATCACTGGAAGTTACGCTGCCTCATTAATATCCGTTTTATATTTTAATAATGCACAGACTCAGGTATCCGAACACTGATTATTGCTGATCGGTATCTGTGTTGTTGATCGGTGTTAAACGGATTCAGTTGTCCTTATTCAACTTGAAACTGGTTAAGGCAAATGTCGGCGAACATTGCATAAACTGATGCAAGTGTGTTAGGTATAGGAAATTCTTTGAAATCTTCCGATCGTTGTTACCCAGTAACCGGTTATTTATTATGTGGATCTATATCATTGATTCCTCTATCGTTATTCCAATATCCAATATTCAATACCATGTTTCTGGCGATCAAAACTTTTACTTCTTCCGGTCGGGATTTGGATTGTAACGAAAAATTCGTTTTTAAATTCAGTGTACAGAATTACAGCATATAAACAAATAGCAATTATTCTTTCAGTCAACCATTTTTTCACATTACTTTTACACACGTAAATAATCAGAATTATTAGCCACCTTTGTGCAACTTGCACATCGTGGCGGCTCCAGTGATTTCTCCATGTGCTCTTTACGTTTGTCAGAAGCTTTTAGATCCACACTATATATGTATGTTTGTTTTTTATGACAGAATCACATTAAAATACTGATTTCAGAATATATAAAATTTATCCTAAAATGTTTATATTTAGTATATCGAAAGCTCTGAGTGTTCATATAAAACGCACTTTTCGACTTCCAAGGATGTTTAATTCATTAAGGCAAAACATACTAGAGCATGTATACCTCCTTGGAGGTCCTCATAAGAGAACGAGCCACTTACCTAAGTCACATTAGGCGAAAGTATGAGAAGTCCACGTAGTCGCCTCATTCACCGGATGGACTAAAGCAGATATAAAACTTTGAGTGAAGGCTCAGTGGAAATAGATATAGCTAAATTTATTCATTATTTATACTTTGCTTACATTTATAAGAGACAGAATATTTATATCCCGCGTAGCTAGTCGGGACAACAGTTCCAGCGAAACAGTTTCGGCTAGAAAACTTTCAATGACAGGAAAAAGTGAAGTCCGTTTCTCGAAAAAATTTCTCCCAGCCTCACGTTTTGTTAAGACGCAGTAATCCCATTATGCGCGTTATAGTCACAGAACAAAACTTAAGAGAAAAGGCAAAGATATGGAAACAGGGTAGAGCTGAACGCCGGAGAATGTACTTGCATCTTCGGATAAATTAAGGCTTAAATCGCTCACTAGTGGGCGGTAGGGACCAGGTTGACTATCCCTATATTTAGCAGATTATAGTATTCAGCGGTATTATCCACTCGATCACTGATAGGTTACTTTCAACCCCTTCCCGCCCTCACTCCTTGAATATACCGCTAAAACTGATAAACGGAAGAAATGATGGCAAGAGTAAATATAATTTTCCAAAGCAATTTTTTAAATTTTCTAATAGTGATTTCATTGAGAAAAAAATCATAATCACCACCATTATGCGTAAGAGAGAACTTACAAGGAATAAGATAGAAATTTATAAATAAAATACATCAAATGAAACTTTAATTCACGAGGCAAAACCAAAGGGATATCTTTATATTAAGTAAACATGATACTAAGAATAAGTAGAAAAAAGACTGTGTTATTTCTAAATTTAATTTAGTTTATAATTTTTTTGTTCCTTGAGTAAAATTTTACTGATAATTAATTTAATTATTGCATTTTATAGTGAAAGATATTACTTTTTATCATTTCTCTGGCGTTGTGTGATATAAATAGAACTTTTGCATGGGAAACGAATTTTAATTAAGGTAAATCAGTATTCTATTAGGTTATTTTAAAAAAGTGTCGGTGTAAAACGTTGCTTTAGTATTAAATAAACACACTCACTTTTTTTAATACATCAAGTCTCTTTCACCTTGTCTGCTGAGTCTATAATTTCTTTTAATTCAGAATATTTCACAATTTTTTAAGATTATTTTCCTACGTATCACATACAATAATTTTACTTATTTATTTATTTTTCCTATCCTAAACTCTTAACATTTTCCTTCGATTCTTAATGTATAAATATAATTGTTTACAGTCTGGGTGAGGTTTAAACAAGTTTATCCTGTCGTAAACTGTAAACAAAAAAACAAACATGAAAAGTATTTGTGTCATGTTAAATATTATCCTTTCTATAATTTACCGTAACATCCATCCTTTGTTAGACTAACACTAAACGTTGATGTTCCGTCGTTTAATGTTTACTGTTGTGAAGGAATGAATTCTTCTCAGTTGAGTTAACGTTAACATATATTCCAATCAAATAATTTAAAAGTTATTCCGTGAACAGACTGTTGGAAGGAAATCAAGACAGCAGAACTTACCGTTGTCGAGAAGGTTAGACAGGTTGAAGAACCCCGAAGGAGTCGAGAAGAGAAGAAAAACAAAATTTATGTGTAACCACGCTAGTTCGCCTCCTACAGCACCACGCTCTTCGACATCTGATATGGCTTTGAACCAGGAAAGCGAGAAAACCTGTTCGTGTGGACATACCGAGGAGGAGGAGCCAAATCGCGTGACGCATGCGGGCTCGTGACGTCACCTTTCGCAGCAACACATCTGCCCGTTTGCGAGGGTGGATTCGCTCGGATTGATGTTGACTTTCCTTCAGCTCCAAGCTAACGTTTGTGATTCATTGGTCAGGTATTTCTGGTCATTTCTTTACCTAATGAAAGAAAGATTAGCATTACGGTAATCGAGCAATCGCATTTCTGCGTATCTGATGGCTTCTTTTTCTAATTACGTGAGTTTTAGAAAGTTAAAAAATGGATTTATTAAAAGAATTATCCTTAGGTTGAGTAACAGTGTATGGAGTTTAGTTTCGAAATATAACTTGAAACTTTAGATAAAGTCTTTAATTAGGTTCAATAAATACTTTTTTGAGTGTTTCGCCCGTAACTGGGCTAACTCATAATAATGAGAATATTCAACAATGATTTAATCTGAATAATTTTTTAATAACAAACTCTTTATTAAACACGCCAACAATTAATGTGCCCCGAGATATTTAGTATAAGGCATTTAAAACGTCTTTTTATTAATCACGCCATTGCTGCAAATGTTTATAAAAATTATAGATTAAGTAGAGACAAGTTCGTACGAAATCGAAAATTGAAGAAAAAATCTTACTTTTTAGACTTCAAAATACAGTCCTTGCAAATTTTTTAAATGCTTTGCGCTTTCATACAGCTGCCTGGTTCGTTCGTAAAACTCATCTTTTTGAATACTGTGTTAAATATCACGTTACAGTTTTCTGAATCTCCTCAGTGCTATTAACATAATCACTCTTGAACTCTCTTTAACTCAGGGAAGAAAAAACAACCTGTAGATACTAAATCTGGTGAACAAGCTGGGTGACTGAGAACTGTGATGCTTTTCTTTGCCTGAAACTGCTTAATGAGAATGAAACTGTGCAACGACGCGTTGTCGAGCAGTAAGTAACCAGTTATCCGAATGAGCTTTTTCACGCCTAACACGCTGATTTCTCTTTAGATGTCTTTCCATTACTTCTTTGTAAAACACAGCGTTCACCGTTTAGAGTTCATCTCTAAAAACAAAATTCTTGGGAATTGTCCCTTTCCAATCCAAATAAAATAATAGTAAAAAAAAAAAAAAAAAAAAACTCAAAGGTTTCAGATTTTAAACTACGTTCAAACGGGCGTTTTTTTAACGTTTTTTGTGTTACCTTTATTTATTAAATAAATGTCGCAAAATAATTTAAAAATGAGCCTATCTTTAGAATTTCCGATACACAGTTCCGCGCGCTAGAGATAAAAAGGTTTCCCCTCCCCCGCCATAGATTGTTGCCATTGCTCGTTTTCAAATCGTTTAGTTTGTTACTCAGAAATTCGTTAAAGTTTTACAAAATATGAAATCGATAATAAAACAAATTCCAAATTTCAAATTTGAGCTTCCACATGCCCATATTCGTAGTAGGATTACGTCATTCAAAATTCGAATACTCTATGTACCGTTGTTTTATCACAATGCGAGAAATATACATACATTTATGTAGATTTTTCATTATTTACTTTCTTCAAGTATAACGCAGGACTCTAACATCTGATGGCAACAGTTTGAAAAATGAAACGGATATTTATAGTGATTCAACGCAAAACCGCAAAACGAAATAGTCCTTCAGGGATAAAGCCCCTTTGGACTGGGGGGGGGGATCGGACACATGCTAAATTTCCTTTAATCCAAGTAAACTGAATTGCCCTTTTGTCCACGATCATAATTAAAATACTAAGCTTTTTCTCTAAATAATGCTTAAAAAACATCGGGATAAATGTTTGTCATCTGGATCAAATTATTGTTATGTTTTGCTCAGATTTTGAATCCGTGATATGAGATGTTCACTGGATCAAAACAAACGATTAACTACCAAGATTCTGTCCGTAAGCAGATGACATTTTAGGAGAAGCAAATTGAGATACACCAGTAGTAAATGATATTAGGTTTCCAGGAGGTTTGCTGAAATTAGTTTAAAAAAATATATTCCTTAAGTTTTCTAGACGCACTTGTATATTATAAATTACATTAATTAGATGTGTTGAAAATTGCATAAAAACCATACATTATTAAAAATATAAGGACATAAGTTATTATGAATTGAATGTATTGCTTTTAAAACACTCAATTAGTTAACGACTGAATTTTGAAAGAAGATTTTAATTTGAACAAATGGAAGATCGTAGCAGACGAATGATGGCAATATCAGTCAAATATAAATTTTCTATTTTTGACCAGGTAGATAATAAGCTAATTATGTTAAGCGCACGACACAGAATGGCATGTGCACGATAAATCCCTACAGCGCAACGTGACACAAAAAGCTGAAATCTTAGATTTAAGCGTTTCCTAATACTAAAACTGGCAAAACACAGCCCTAGATTTTTAATTCCAAAAAAAAAAAAAAAAAAAAAAAAAAATTGAAAATAATCAAGTCAGTTGAAAATAAGAAGTTTTTATTTCCGTAAAATAAAATTCACCGCTTTGTACAAAGTTATCAAATGACATTAATTTTTATATGCATAAATACGAGCCCAATTCTGTTTCAAATAAACTGAAACAACAAAATAAATTTTTATTGTTTTACTTTGCGATCCTAAAATTAAATACATAATCTTGTTTTTATCTTTACTGTGTTAGAATTAAACAAAGAAATGACTTTTTTAGTTGCATAAAAAAAAAACTCTTAACCTACTTTTGTTGACCCAAAAATAATATATTATTTTTCATTGAAGCAAAATATGGGAAATAAATGAAAACAAAATCAACAAGCAATTTAAAGATGTCAGATTTTATTTTAAAAAATAGTCTAACAGTTTTTAAAGCTAGGAAACAAACGTGAAACATTATAAAAGTTTGAAAAAAAAATAGTTCTGTACTAGTTCCATAACATATGGGTTCATGAAACATCTTTTAATAATTACAGCAAAGATGCAAATGTTCGTGAAACATCTTTTAATACGTAATTACAGCAAAGATGCAAATGTTCATCAAAACTATCATTTGGATGTATTCATGGAGATCGCAAAATTATAAAAATGATTTTCTTTACTTAGACAATGTCCATAGACACATGGTTCATTGTTAGAAGAATCTTGCGGACTTCAAACACATATGTTGTTGCCGACTGCTAAACTCTATCAGGAACACTTTTATATCACATACTAAGAACATATAGTGAATTTGAGTTTCAGAAAGCAGCGCCTCCTTTTACTCTGTATCACGTGAAGAACATCAGTAAAAGGACGATAGTAAAAGTCAGGTGTCCGCCATCAGTCGACGAAACAGGTGAGTTTCTGGTCGAAGGTCCTAATCAGGGAACTGAAGTATCTAGTATGAGTAAAAAATGTTAAGGATGGAGAATGTCAGATGGATATTTGTGCTTTTCTCTAGGAAATGGAGAACATCTAAGAGAGTTGATGCAGTTGTTAGGATGAATGAGAACTGAATAGAAGAAATTTCTGGCAAGTTTTTGAATATAATCTTGAATTGTATCTACTTTGAGATCCCGGCAGATATAAGAATTTGGAATGAACCATGGTGCGTTGATAATCTCTCTGAGTGCTTTGTTTCGAAGAACTTAAATGTGTTGAAGGTGAGTTTTGGCAGTGTGACCCCAGACAGGACTAGTATAGAGTAATGCTGGTCGAAGTATAGATTTATATAAGAGGAGTTTATTAGAAGCGGATATATGACTTCTTCTGCCAAGAAGTGGGCGCATAGTTGCAAGTGTGTTATTAATTTTTTCCACAGTTTCCCTGAGATGTTTCTGAAAAGACAATTTTTTATCAAGAATGACTCCTAGATATTTGACTTCGTCTACCCAGTCAATTTCTTCATCAAACAGAAGGGGTCTAAGGGGAGTGAAATTTGTTTGGCCTTTGCGAAAAATTATTGCTTTTGATTTTTCGGTATTAACTGCAATCCTCCAAAGAGTGAGCCAATTTTCTAGATGCTTAAGGTAATGTTGAAGAAGACGCTGGACAACAGTAACAGTAGAAGCTTGGGTCATAATTGCAGTATCATCAGCGAAAAGAGCAGTGGTAATTTGTGGGTCCTTAGGAATATCGTAAATGTAAATGTTATATAAATATAGAGAAAGTACAGATCCTTGGGGCACTCCAGGCAAAATTTTTCTCGTGGAAGAAACAGAACTGCCAATTTTCACTGCAAAGATTCTGTCTTGAAGATAGGAAGCAATAAGTCTGATACAATGATCGGGGAAGTTTAACTTGATAAGTTTGTAAATAAGTCCCCGGTGCCATATCCTATAAAAGCTTTCGCAATATTTATATCACATAGGGACTCAGGCAATCTCGATAACTATGCCGACCTCACTTTGTCTCGGCTGAACATCCTAATAAATAGTTATGCAGTCTAACAACCAGGAACGGTCCAGTAGTTCTGGTCGGCCAGTACCAACACATTCTAGATAGTTACAAGAAAAAACTCCCAAGTACCGCTGTATGTCGCGATAATTATTATCGTGCTAAGTAGCACGACTTGTTCCGGTCGTCATGATGTTGGTACCACTAAGCAAAGAATTTGTAATCCCTTGCAGATTCTTTGCCACTAAGGAAGCCTGAAGTAAACTAGTACTTGAGCTAGGTCCGCAGACAGGGTAGTAGATGCAGGAAAGGATGTGACCAGTTGTCACGTGGTCCAATGACAGCGTCTGATTGGCCGTGCAAATTCAATCAAAAATATGAATTTTACAATTTAAAGCATAAAAATAATATTCAACTCCATTACGATATGAATAAAAACTACAAAAAAAAAAAAAAAATAATAAAGAGAAGAGAAGAGTTCGTAGAAATGAGAAAATAAAACTGGTTGAGATTACAGCAGGCGAGCACAGTCATCGTGAATGTCGAAAATCTTAACTGAATTTCTTATGAACTTATGAACTTTTTAGAAGTTCTTTGGCTATAAGGCCTGAGCACGAAATCGTGACATCAC